TTTTGTCAATTTGGTTTAAAGATTTTATACTTGTCAAGACTGGCTGCAATGCTGGGACAGTGACTCAAACCTGTAATCCTTGCTACTTGGGAGTCTGCTATCTGAGGAATTGCCCTTCAAAGCCAGCCTTGGTAAATAACTTCAAGAGAGTGTCCAATTAACCAGCAAAAGTAGGAGTGTGTTTCAAGAGGTAGCCAGTCTTAAATGGAAAACACTAAGCCAGCCAGCATGTAGCCCTTTTCCTTTAAATCACTGGCATACAAATTTCAAACCAAAGACTTAAGCCAATTTTTTAAAGCAACTGTTTCATACTTCTTTATATGAAATACTTTACAGATTTGCTACAGGTTCTCCCCAAAGCATTTCCTAAAAATGTTTCAAGGCAGATGCTCATAAAGCAGTAACTATTCTAGGTCACTATCACTGAGGCACTATAAAAATAGGGCTAGAATTCTTAAAAGGACAAAAAGTAAATGGGAAAGGATTTGGGAAAGGAAAGAGTAACTGAAGGACAATAGGCATCAGTGGCTCACACCTGTAATTTTAGCTGAGATCTGAAGAACATGGTTCGAAGCTAGCCTGCCCCTGAAAGCAAAGACTTTAAAATAGTCTTGAAGGGTCTATAGTAACTTGTTCCTGTCCTCCATCTTTATTCTATTCTGCTCTTGTTCACTTACTCTGCTCCAGCTTTGTGTCTCGTTCACAGCTCCAAGTGACAGTCAAGAGCTGCACTGTTCATAAGTACAACTTAGTACTGGCTAATATTGGGCTGCTGCTTAGAAAAGAACATTTATTACTTTTCACATACAGCTGTCTAAAAGAAAATCACTAAACAGTCATACAGTATTAGAGTTAATTCTTGATCATACCACCTAAACTACATAGAGCTCAAAAATGTTAGTAAGCTGGCTAATTAACATTGGTGGCTCACGCTTGTAATCAAAGATAGTCCAGGCAGGAAAGTAGGTGATGAAACTCTCCAAACCATCACCAAAAAGCCAGAAATGAAGCTGTGGCTCAAGTGGAAGAATGCTAGCATTGAGCAAAAAAGCTAATGGACAGTGGCCAGGCTTGGGGTACAAGCACTAATTTGGAAATGTATTAATAAACAACAAAGTTGTTTTAAACAAGTAACTTAATAAACAACAAAAAGTTAATATAACTAAAGCAACAAATTTTTTCATTACAAATTAATTATGTTCAGGCTGGGAAGGTGGCTCAGTGGTAAAGCACTTGCCTTGCATGCATGAGGCCCTGGGTTCGATTCCTCAGCACCACATAAGCAAAAAGAAAAAAGCTGGAAGTGGCGCTGTGGCTCAAGTGGTAGAGCGTTAGTCTTGAGCTGAAGAGCTGAGGGACAGCGCCCAGGCCCAGAGTTCAGGTCCCACGACCAGACCCCCCCAAAAAACAAATTAATTATGTTCAGATAAAGGATATACATAATGGAAACAAAAAGTTGGCTATGAGCTGGGTGCCAGTGGCCTGTAATCTTGCTACTTAGGAGGCTGAGATCTGAGGGGGGGTCATAGTTTGAAGCCAGCCTAGGCAGGCAGGAAAGACAGTGAGACTCTTATTTCCAGTTAATCGCCCAAAAGCCAGAAGTGGAGTTATGGCTCAAGTGATAACAGTGCTAGCCTTGAGTGAAAAAGCTCAGGCCCTGAGTTCAAGCCCCAGGACCAGTACCATAAAAAAAGGCTATTTCAAATGACTCTTAAAAGAATAAGCTCTTTTCCAAACAGATTAATAATTTAAAAACTGTTAGTCCTTTCAGCAATTATCATAATGCATTCCAAGGTCTGTGTCTGGCTTGCTGTTGTACACCCCACTGTCTAGTCAGTCAGTGCCTGGCACCTAAGATATACCTAGCAGTTTAACTGTGGTTTATGTAAACTCATTTAACATTATTCCAAAAGGAGTGATACAATGCTAGAAAAACAGCACACAGTAATAAGAGTATATTTGAAAAGGAATTTTATTAGAAAATTTATCAGAAATCTCTAATTTTTAAAAAGTCAAAAAGACCTCAACTGCTGTGAAAAGATAAAGCTAAATGAGAATAACTTTAGGTAATTATTTACAAGGGTATACTAAAAGAAAAAAAACTACAACTATAAGAATAAAATAAAAAGCCAAGCACTGGTGGCTCATGCCTGTAATCCTAGCTACTCAGAAGGCTGAGATCTGAGGATTGTGGTTGGAAGCCAGGCCAGGCAGGAATGTCTCTAAGACTCTTATCTCCATTTAATCACAGAAATGTGACACACTCCTAAATACCATTAGGGACAATTAATAAATACTAGTTGAAATTTTTTTTTAAGCCAGAAGCAAAAGTGTGGTTCAAGTAGTAAAGCACTAGCCTTGAGCAAAAGGAGCTCAGTAACAGTGGCTAGGCTTAGAATTCAAGTCCAGGACTGGCAAAAAAATGATTCTCTCTCTCCCTCCCTCCCTCTCTCTCTCTGTCTCTCTTTCACACACACACACACACACACACACACACACACACACACACACACACACACAAATTGAAGAGGAAAGACTAAAGTAGTGAAAAGGTCTGTATTTCCCAATAGTGTTTACTATCATTCACTTAGGAATAGGATTTGTTTTGGACGATACAGTTCACTTTTACTACTTTTCTTTGGTGTATTACACACTGTAGCAAGCACAAGACAAAGCAAAGCAGAGATTCAAGCAGGGCACCAGTGGGTGGCTCACACCTAAATTTTACTCCTCCTCCTCCTCAGCTATTCAGGAAGCTGAGATCTGAGGATCCAGTTCAAAGCTAGTCCAGACAGAAAAACCTGAGAGACATTTATCTCCAATTAACTAACCAGCCAAATTGGAGGCACGAATAAAGTGGTAGTGCACTAGCTGAAAGCAAGAAAAAAATAGCCAAGTGAAGTCCTGAATTCAAGCTCTAGTAACTACACACACACACACACACACACACACACACACACACACACACACACAAACACACACAGATGAGACTCCCAGGGGTATAAAAGAAGTCCCCTGCCATCTAAGGCACATCTGGATAAACAGGATAAGAACCTGCCCCAGGAAAAGCATGCCATAAGGTCCACCATAGTACTCTTTTTTTCACCTTTAATAGTTTGGTTATTTCCCTCATCACCCTTCTATTTTCAAACTTTCTCAGCAATTTTAATTCTTGAGCTAATTTACCTTTCTTCTCTTAAACCTGGAGGAGCAGTTACAAGGATCAGCAGTATTTCTAAACATTTTTTATCTAGATATACTCCTAGCCCTTGAATTAATTATCATTTGCTTCTCCCCCTCTAGAAGCTGAAACCAAAGAAGATGTTTCATCTGTTTCTGTTTGGCTCATCTGTGCTCCATCAACACTTATGGATTTAATGTAATTTTTTTTTGGGGGGGGGTCTGGTCGTGGGGTCTGAACTCTGGGCCTGGGTGCTGTCCCTCAGCTCTTCAGCTCAAGGCTAGCACTTTACCACTTGAGTCACAGCGCCACTTCCGGCTTCTTTTTGCTTATGTGGTGCTGAGGAATCGAACCCAGGGCCTCAGACATGCAAGGCAAGCGCTCTACCACTGAGCCACCTTTCCAGCCCTAATGTAATTTTTTTTTTTGGGGGGGGGGTCCGGTCGTGGGGCCTGAACTCTGGTGGGCGCTGTCCCTCAGCTCTTCAGCTCAAGGCTAGCGCTCTATCACTTGAGCCACAGCACAACTTCCGGCTTTTTTTTTTCTTTTTGCTTATGTGGTGCTGAGGAATTGAACCCAGGGCCTCAGGCATGCAAGGCAAGCGCTCTACTACTGAGCCACTTTCCCAGCCCCCTAATGTAATTTTTTAATTCAAGTTTTTTGAAGGAAAAACAGTATTTTTAAACAGGGTTAGTTTTCAGCATCTTCACAATGGGTGCCTGACTGGTCGAACCTCCACAATCTTAAAATATTTTTCAATTCTTCTAATCAGTTTTTCCTCCCTCACTAGGCTTAAATGATGCTGAAAACATAATCTTGTGATATTCTGATATTGTCATCCTTCTATCTTTAACTTCCTAACAGAATCATACAAATACTATCCTCAAAATAAATGTCTTTTAGCATACAAAAACTAATCATGGGATTTTTTTTAAATTCCATAGAAGAAAAGTTTCCACTGGACCTTAAATAAAACTTAACATCCCTGCTTCCCCTCCCTACTCAGGATGACTCCTGCTAAAGTGACTAGAAAATGACTATACGGGTCTACGCCTCAAGTTCGAAGCTCAAACGGAAACACCAGGTCTAGAGTAAGGTAGAGCCCACTGCTGGTCTCGGCTCCTCCAAAACTTGCATCATGAATCTGTGACACAGGACAATGCAACGTGAGCAAAGACTACCTTACACACACACACACACACACACACACGGTAAAGTGAAGTTGGGGACCCGCTGGTTTTGCCGTAAAGGAAGCGGCCAACGGCTGAAACTATCCCCCTCAAAACATGTTGAGTCGGGGGACCAGTGGCTCACACCTGTTCATCCTAGCTATTCGAGAGGCTGAGATCTGAGGATCACGGTTCGAAGCCAGTCCAAGCAGGAAAGTCGGCGAGACTCTTCTCTCCCATTAAGTCTCACCCCCCACCCCCAGCCCAAAAGAAGCCGGAAGTGAGCTGTGGCTCAAGTGGTAGAGTGCTAGCCTTGAGCACAAACAGCTGAGGGACGGTGCCCAGGCCCTGAATTGAAGCCCCAGGACCCGAACCAAATGATTATAATAAGAACCAAACTTGAAGCAGACCCCATCTGGCCCAAGAAAGTGTGGCGCTAACAGGGCGGCGACCCATTTCCCCAGATTTTACCCCTTAGTACCCTAAATTGCTTCAGAGCTGCCTGTCCCCCTGGGCCCAGGCCTCGGCCCCCCGTTATCCGAACTGGCAAGGTCCTCCCACCGAGCCCCGCCAGGCCCCGGGCCCGGCTCGCCGAGTTCCGGGCAAGAGCCCTCGTCGCCTCCCCCGGCGCCGATGACAGCCTAGAATACCTTGGTCGTCCGGATGTGCTCCATTCCGAGGAGACGACTGCCGGCCGCCGGTCTCACCGGCGAACCATGGAGCGACGGAAAACCGGGCGGTGACAGCGACCGAGACAGAGTCTGAGGGAACTCCCTCAACCGACCAGCGCCTCCGCCCCGACAGCCCGCCCCAGACAGCCGCAACTGCGCAAGCGCGGCCGGCGAGCGTCGTCTCCTAGCAACGCTACTCAAACCCAGAGGCCAGTGGGAAGATGGAGAGTGGATGGGCACGTAATGTTGCCTGCGGAGAGAGGCGCTCTCATTGGTCCAAAACCGCCCCCACCTGACACAGCGCCTACCGCTGGTGGAGGACTAATACTGTACACCAATCATCCTAGGTGAGGCTGGGCCAGCGCCAGCAGAGCCAGCCAGAACCTGGACACATGGCTGGAAGATGTTTCTTGGTTTGAAAATGGATCATGAGTAAAGGGAATTCGATGCGTAGAGGTCTCTGAAGTCCATTACTGTACCAACGGACGATAACAAATTTAGAAACTATGTATAGGGGAGAGTTCCAATGGTGTCACTCCTTTGAATTGCATAGTTTATTATTTTTTTTAATGCCAGGAAGCTAGAATATGTGTTGTGTGATAGTGGGGGTGAGGGGAAGGGGCTAGACCAGTGCAGAGAGGAAAGTGGTTCAATCATAATAATCACTGTAGCCAGGCTCGGTGGCACAACGCCTGTAATCCTAGCTACTCAGGATGCTGAGTTTTGAGGATCGCAGTTCAAAGCCAGCCTGAGCAGGAACATCCATAAGACTCTGATCTCCAATAAACCACTAGAAAACCGGAGGTTGCGCTGTGGCTCAAGTGGTAGAGCACTAGCCTTGAGCTGAAGAGCTGAGGGACAGTGCCCTAGCCCACAGTTCAAGCCACACCACTGAGCCAAAAAAAAAGAAAAATTCATTGTAGATATGTGAAAATGGAATTACATAAATAAGTGAGGATGGAAAGGATTTGACACTGATCAAGATATATTGTGCTCACAAACTTACACATTAAAATGAAACCCCTTTATGTAACTACTTAAAGCTCATTTTTAACTAGAAACTTTACTTGTAATTTGAAAAGCAATCTGGCTACTCACTGGGATTTATTCTAAGAAAATAATGTTTAGTGTAATGTTATTTGAAACAAATTTTCAAATACTTCAGGATTTGTTATGTAAAGTACAATGTATTCATTAAACGTTAGTAGGAGGATTCGTTAAAAGTTATAGAGCAAGCTGGACACCAGTGGCTCACAGTTGTAATGCTAGCTTTCCGGAAACTGAGATCTAAAGAGCTGGTTTAAGCCAGCTCAGGCAGGAAAGTCCATGGAATTCTTCTCTTCAATTAACCAACAAAAAGCCAAAAGTGAAGCTCAAGTGGTAGAACTAGACTTGAGGTAGGAATAACTTGAGCAAAAAAGCTCAGGGACAGCACCCAATCCCTGAGTCCAAGCTCCAGGATGGGCACACACAAAAAAATTATAGAGGAATAGATATTACAGAGCCAAAGTATAGGTACTATATTATTGAGAAGATCAGGTTAACTATAGTATAGTAAGTTCAATATGACCATATTTTGTAATTTGTATTTATGAAAGTGAAAGGTTTCTATTTCTAGGTGGTAGGATTACAGATGACTTTTTGTTGTCATTATTGCTGTTGTTCCTCTAATACAGAAGTTACCGGGACAGAACATCTCTCCAGGGGATGCTTGGTGAGATACGGAGTCCTGTTTGGTTGTCTTGGCTGCCTTGGTTAGGGTTTGGGGGTATGATATCTGGTGGGTCCAGGCTAGTTTAGCTGCAGAATATAATGCAGCAGAGAAGCCACCAACAGGGAATCATCCTGCCCATGATGTCAGCAGTGCAGGGGTGGAGATACTCTTCTCCAGGTTTTCTGAATCTTCTGCATTGATCACATTCACATTTGTAATTAGAAAATGATGGGTCAAGATGCTAAGGTCTGAGGATCATGGTTGAAAGCCAGCCTAGGCAGGAAAGATTCTTATCTCCAATGAAGTACAAAAATAGCCAGAAGTGGAGATAAGGCTCAAGTGGTAGAGTACCAGCTTTGGGGGGAAAAATAAGACTTAACAGTCAGGGCCCCTGAGTTTAAGCCCCTATCAACACAATAACAACATCAATGATTAAGATGTTTTGAAAAGTTTAGGAAGTGGGCTGGAGGATTTCCTCAGTGGCCGAGCAAGTATCTGGCATGTCTGAGGATTGGTTGGATTTCCAGCACCAAAAAGAAAAAGGAAAGGGGGTAGAATTAGGATGGAATTTTTTTTATTGTGATTACATTACGAAGACCTAACATCAATTTTTTTCTTTCCTAAGTAAAAAATATTTGTTCCACTTTGTTTCTTTTTATTCTAGTTGTTCTGGTGTTTTAAGCGCCTACTATAGGTTAAAAGCAATGCCAATGCAATGGAATTGCTTACTTAATTTAACAGCCTCTGCAGTGATGTTGCTATTCCTTGTGAGATATATATGTAATAAGGATTGAACATCTGAAAACCAGTTTTGGCAGTAACACCCCCCCACACACACACACGCACACCTTACTGTCAAAAATAAATAGGAAAGTAATGGAGGTCTTTATTGAAGATATTTTGAGAAAACAGGTAAGTTATACTACATAATACACAGCAAGTCTTTCAGAAGGAAAAAATCTTATTATTTTACCTCAAATTTGTATTTTACCCCATTCTCTCTCTCCCTATAATTTCACATTTGTTAGATGCTCTCTTACAATCATAATGATCTTGACTAACATTTAGTAATTATCAAGTAACAAAGGGTACTGCCCTCCTTACAGTATGAGAAAAATACTATCACATTCCTCATGCCAAAGATGAGAAAAGTGAAATCTAGTGAAATGACTGGCCCCAAACCACACAGTAGATAAAACTAGATTCATGATATATAATATAAAGCCAGACAGTCTGACTCCCGAGTCTATATTCTTTACTATTCTATATTGATTTGCTTTTCAAAATCCCTATCAATGTTCCACTCAGTAATATGATAGCTTGGGAAAAAAATCACTCTACTTGGGCAAAATATAAAATCAAATTCTACACAGTAGCTCATAACAGATGAAGATAAAACTAACCTATAAAAGAAAGTATGCTCAGAGAGGTCAGCAGAATGCTGAAGTAGATTCTGTAAGAGGACAACTTCTTTTTTTTTTTTTGGGGGTCCGGTCGTGGGGCCTGAACTCTGGGCCTGGGCGCTGTCCCTCAGCTCTTCAGCTCAAGGCTAGCGCTCTACCACTTGAGCCACAGCGCCACTTCCGGCTTTTTTCTTTTTGCTTATGTGGTGCTGAGGAATGGAACCCAGGGCCTCAGGCATGCAAGGCAAGCGCTCTACCACTGAGCCACCTTCCCAGCCCCAAGAGGACAACTTCTAAATCAGATGAATTTAGTATCTGATTTGATGAACTGCCAGGACACACAGCTCAGAAGCCAAAATGTGGATCCCATCCTACGTGAAGCCAGATGAGAAAGGGATTCAACCAGTCCAAGTCCCAGAGGACAGCAAGGTTTGACTTTATAATGAGAAAAGGAGAAGAGGACAGATAATTACCTCTGCTGGAGTTACATCATTTCGTACATGGTCATCAGACAAATTTATATCTAGATTTATATCATTTACATGATCCCAAAATATTCAAGCTGACAACATAGTTTAAAGTGTTTGCTGTCAGTGCCCTAGAACTTTATTGTAGCAAACATAAATCCTTTTTGGTAGAACATGCCTCTGTAACTGACCTTCTATAATTCTTAGAAGTATTTCCACGGAATATCAAAGTCATAATAAAATTAACAGACAAGGAAAAACTTCTCTAGATAATTGACAGGAACAAAATAATGATATTTTATAATTACCAGGCTTAGTTTATGAAAGAAGTTTGCTTCATACATGTAAAACAAAGACCATAAAAGAGACAGGCACCAGTGATTCATACCTGTAATCCTAACTACTCAGGCAGTTGAGATCTGAGCATTGAGATTCAAAGCCAGCCCAAGGAGGAAAGTCTGTAAGACTCATATCTGTAATTAATCAACAAACCCTAGAAGTGGTACAGTGCTAACCTTGAAAAAAAAAAAGTATAGGGGCAGCACTCAGGCCCTAAGTCCAAACTGCAGGACTTGCACCAATATAAAATAAAATAAATAAATAATAAGGGATTTAAAAAAATATCCAAAGAAGAAAAAAGATAGGTTACTGTGAATAATTCAAAACCAAAATTGAGATCTGACTCCTTATTAGCAACAGTGGAATCTGTGCAACATTGAAAGTTACTGGAGGTCACTGTTACTGTACCATGACTTTGCCAGAAACAAAACATATTTATGAAGTTGGAAACTTTTATCCCAGATATCCTTTATTTCTTTTATAAAAGTTTCATTTTATAAGTTAAAGATTACAGAGTTCCAATATACTCCACAGCCAGTTTTTCCTATTGAAACAGATGACTGGGACACACCTCTTCCTAGGAGATAAGTTAGTTACTGTTAAATATTGTTAAAGTATTGCTATTTATAAGCCTTTGTTGTAAGCACCATTTGTGTGTGTGTGTGTGTGTGTGTGTGTGTGTGTGTGTGTGTGTGCATGTGCACACGCATGCAGTGGTGATTTACACTCTGGGCCTGGGCACTATTCCTGGGATGCTTCTCTTTTTTTTTCTTGGTTGTAGGACTTGAACTTGGCCTGGGAGCTGTCACTGAACTTTTTTTTTGGTCAGTTGTGGGGCTTGAATTCCGGGCCTGGGCGCTGCTGTCCCTGAGCTCTTCAGCTCAAGGCTGGCACTCTACCACTTGAGCCGCAGTGTCATTTCCAGTTTTCTGGTGGTTAATTGGAAATAAGAATCTCAGGGACTTTCCTGCCCAGGCTGGCTTTGAACCATGATCCTCAGATCTCAGCCTCCTGAGTAGCTAGGATTACAGGTGTGAGCCACCAGGGCCTGGCCCCTGAACTTTTTCACACCTCTATCACTTGAGCCACAGCTTCACTTCCAGTTTTCTGGTGGTTAACTAGAGATAAGAGTTTCATGGATGTTTGTATCCTGGCTGGCTTTGAACTGCAATCCTCAGATCTCAGCCACCCACCAAGGATTACAGACATGATCCACCAGCACTCAACACCATCTTAA